TTGACTTGAGAGTGGATTCATATCCGACATTTTTTCCACACCTCATTCTACCTGTTATCTCACAAGTTGACAATTCCACTGCTCTGTTGATCTGTATCCTATCTTGTGCATTACATAAACCTTTCATTCAAAACAGCACTGTCTGTATCCTTAGTTGCAGCAAAAATTCTTTTAAATATCATCCCTGTTCTTGGTGAATGACACTGACCACTGACCTCTGTTCTGCCAAGACCTCCATTTTTAAGCTGTCGTCATTATTTTCAAATCCCAAAGTAACCTTACCCCTCTCTGTGGGTATACTCTCCTTTGGTCAGTCCCACAGTCTTCCAAGATATACATGCTATTCCAATTCTGGGCTATTAAGCACCCCAAATTTCATTGGTTTCACCAATAATGGTTAAGTTTTTAGCCACCTGGACCCAAATCTGTGGAATTACTTGCCTGAATCTCTGAGTCTCTGCTTCTTATTCCTTTGAAGAGCCTTTTTATTTCAAGTCAGAAACTTCCACTGCCCTGAAATCTGTGTGGCAGGCCCTGAGTCAAATCTTGTTGGATAACACAGTCTTGCCAAGTTTTTTGAGACCTTATTCTGTAAAAATTGCTGCGTAGATACGTGTTGTTCTTTTGAAGGTGCTATACATACGGAAGTTGAGGAAATTGCAAATAATAACTTGTATGAAAATTTGAAATTGCATATTTTATAAAATGAATAGCAATGAGCGAGATGATTCTGGAAAGTGAACTTTTGTGGATTTGAGTGAATTGCAGGTCTATCTACATCACATGGACTGTAATGGGACCTAAAGCAGCTCACCACCACCTTTGTGAGGGCAACTAGAACTTGCAATAAATGCTGACCCAGCCAGAGATGCTCACTTCCTATGAGTGAATAAGAAAAAGGAAGAAACATTTGCACATAATGAAAACAAGGTGCTGCAAAGACTCAGCAGGTCTACCAGCATCTGAAGAGAGCAAAATGCAGTCAATGTTTTGAGTTCAAACTGACTCTTCTTGGTAACCTTTTTTTGCTTTTATATGTGTGTGAATAAAGCCTGCTGAAGTCTCTCAATATGCCTCCAAACCATTCACATGCAGTATGCCGCTGTGAAATTTCATGATGGCTGTGCTGGCAGATGTGTATGATTTAGACAACCTTGCATGTGAACGTTGACAAATGATGATGGCACAACATGCCAGCAACTTTTTAACCTTTTCCTCCAGAACACCCCCAATAAAAATGTAAATTCAGCACACTCTGAAACACTGCATCGTATGTTTATCAAAAATGTGTGCAGTTCTTTCCAAGACAAAGGAACAGTGGGACTCCAACATCGTTCTAAGGCACAATTTGAACCTTGCCAGCATCTTAAATACCATCATGGAGGATATTTACAGTCAGGCTGTAATTAAATGGGATGGGCATGTCATGTCATATGTCCAGGCTGAGCAGTTACACTGTCCTGCCCACTTCCTTTTTTAACTTTGTGGCTAGGAAAGTAAAAATCAGCACTGCCTGGTACTTTGGGCTGCATTGTTACATTGCTTTTAGAGATATCACAGGGGTTCACTGGTTTCCTGTTTGAATTACAGCATATGCTGGGTACAATATCTGTTGAACTATTGTCGACGAACACAAATGGAATTGGTTTGCCCCTGCCTTGACAATTTGAGACCATGCTATGAACTTCCTGACTCTGTGAATGGCAAAACCCGATAAGATCACGTCGGCAAACTCTGAAACGAATCTGATTTGAATCTGTTTTGCTTTCTGCAGACTAGAGTTGGAGTAGGAGGAAGTGGTGTCAGGGAGGTCATCGTCCCAGAGTGGTGTAGTCAGTCCAGGCAAAAATCTCCATTTCCCAGCCCATCAAGAAGAGATTGCTTTCAATGGGTGTCATCACAAACTGTGCATCTTAAAATGTGCTGCCTGTCACTCATACTTTGCCAGAAAGTGGTGTGTGTACACTCAGGGATATAGTCTGAGGACATGTAGAATGTTGACCACCCACCTGGTAGTTTGGATGCAACTAAAACAGCAACGTCATCATCTCTGGTTGAGACCTTCCTCGATGGAATTGTGATGGCTAGGAACAAAAATGTGATGTTTGCAGCCAGTCCCCAGTGCAATCTTGGTACGACAATCAGAGAAATGCATGAAGATGTCAAGTGTTTCATGCATGATCAGTTTCTAACACTGAGTCTGAGGATTTTGCATGTTGGAATGCGGGGCTGTAAGCAGAACTATTCTTTGATAGAGCTGGCATTACTTGATGGGGTGAGTTGGCTCACAAGTTTCCATAATTCTATAAAAGCCCCCTGCCCCCCAGCTCCCTTACCTGCAAGGCTGTGTATCTGTGATCCTTGGATAATTGTCAGCAAAATTCAATGAAACTACCATCTTTACAGTTGAAAGAGGATTCAATTGTCTTCAAAGCCTAGGAGTAAGGTTGGATTTTGGATTTTACTTCAAACCTGAGTCTCATTCATTCCCAGATGCCTGCGAGAATGTAAATGTGCCATTATTGAGTTACACAGCACGCAACAGACCCTTGGGTCCAACTTGTCCATGACAACCAGACATCCCAATCTGACCCTAGTTTCATTTCTCAGCATTTAGCCCATATCCCTCAACCCTTCCCGTTCATATACCCACCCAGATACCTTTTACATGTTGTAATATTTCCAGCCATCTCCACTTCCTGCGGCAGTTGGTTTCATACACATACCACCCTCTTTGTTACCCCTCAGGTCCCTTTTAAATCTTTACCCTCTCACCTTTAAACCTACAGCCCCTTGTTTTGGCCCCCCCCCCCACCCCAGGCACTCTCGAGAAAAGTTCTTGGCTATTCACCCTATCCATGACCCTCATGATTTTATAAATCTCTGTAAGGTCACCCCTCCTCTTCCCTGGAATTTCGGAGACTAAGTCCCAGCGTATTCAGCCTCTCCTTACAGCTCAAACCCTCCAGTCCCAGCAACATCCTTGTAGATCTTTCCTGCGCCCTCTGAAGTTTAACAACCTACTTCCTGTAGAAGTGTGACCAGAATTGTACACAGTATTCTACAAGTGGCCTCACCAAAGTCCTGTGCAGCTGCAACATGACATCCCAATTCCTATACTCAATGTCGTGATCGATGAAGGCAAGCCTGCCAAATGCCTCCTTGACCACCCTGTCTACCTGCAACTCCAATTTCAAGGAATTGTGCAGCTGCACCCCTGGGTCTCTTTGGCAACATTCCCCAGGACCCGAGCATGAAGTGTAAAAGTCCTGCCTTGATTTGCGTTACCAAAATGTAACATCTTGCATTTACCTAAATTAAACTCTATCTGCCACTCCTGGGCCTAATGGCCCATCTGATCAAGGTCTTGTACTCTGAGATAATCTTCACTGTCTACTACACCATCTATTTTGGTGTCATCTGCAAACTTAGTAACCATACTTACCGCATCCGCATCCAAATCACTTATATAAATGACAGCAGGCAGTGGACCCAGCACTAATCCTGTGGCACACCACTAGTCACAGGCCTTCAGTCCAAATTGCTACCCTCTATCACCACTCTATCTCCTACCTTCAAGCCAATTTTGTATCCAATTGGCTAGCTTCCCATGGATCCCATGTGATCTAACCTTACCATCCAAATTTAAATTGTTTGGATTTTTTTGTGTCATAGAACACAAGTGAGAAGCGCAGTGGTTTTATAGATTTGATTATTGTCTTCTGTGTAGGTTAAATGTTTGGTGTGTCTTGGTGTGTGGAATGGCGACGGCGAAGCTGCTCCATTGTTTGAAATTGAAGAGCGATGAACCAGCCACTCTGTCAGTGCCAGTATGGCTTGGGTCTTGTGAAACCTGCACCCTGAAGCTGGCATACATTCATAGTTTGGTCCACATTTGCAAGGATGTAAAATGCCACTGCTACAGCAATATCGCCCCTCACAAACACATCCACCATCCCCAATCACCAAGGAGAGAATGACCCTGGCTATTACAGAAATTGGGTATTGTTTGAAATCGAGTGGATTGATGCAGTGAAATGTCAAAGGAAAGATCAGAGTAAAGGTGAAATAGAGCAAGTATCTTAGTCAGGGGAGAAACAGAGAATCTAAGCTGATGGAAAAACATTATTTGATTTGATTTATTGTATTATAGTCACATGTACTTAAGTACAGTGAAAAGCTTTGAACTTTATAAATAGGTGGAGTTTCATTTCTCTCCCTAAGTTTATTGTTTCCCCTTCACCATTGGGTTCTGTACATTTAGTCTTATGAATGATATCCTATTTTATTGTGTAACCAGTATTTATGCAAAATGTGAAACTTTTTCTTGCTTTCTTTATGGGATGTGGGTGTCACTAGCTGGTGCAATGTTTATTGCTCATGCTGAATCACCCTGGAGAAGGTCGTAGTGGGCAGACTTCTGAATCACTGTATCCCCCTTTAGCAGCGCAACAATTCTGTAATCCAGTTCATTCCTGTGATGCAACCTTTCCTGTATGCCAAAGTGAAAAGCAGTCTTTGCACGCTGAATGTGTAAATCTCATGCATTCCTCTTGTCATGTATAGCACTCTTTTAGTGATTATTCAAACTAACCAGGTCAGATCTGGACTAAAATCAGTAGCGCCTCTGACGTAGCCCCAACACCAAAGACAAAGACCACTTCCTGACTGTTGATTTGGCAAAAAGACTGGTTGGAGCTTTATCTTTTGTTGAAAATTCAGAGGCAGGAGCTTCTAGAAAACTGCCACGTTGGTAATGTGTGAAAACCTGGAGTTTTCAAACTATTCAGTGGCCAAAGTTGCTCAAAATCCCATGAAAAATGGTTCACTATATTCGAGGAGGAGTACTATTCATTAGATTCAGCAGATTAGTGGACACCGAATGGTTACCAAACAGCCAGCCTTGGTCAACACAAGAAAATGGGTGTTCTCAGCAGGTCGTAGTTGTAGACAAGAGTTTGCATGAAAAAAAAAACTAAAGCCTCTTGCCTCCGTTTCAGGATGCCGAGCCAATTGAAAGGTGTGATGACCCTGACCTTGCCCACAGAGAGAGGCATGCTACTGATGAAGAGAAACTGGCCTCCACCACATCAGTCAATCAAAAACCTGCCTGCCAAGAGGCAAAAGCTGAAGTGGAAGACGACACTGAGTACTTTGAATGCCCAGCGACTGCCATTAAACAAGAATTATCAGTCTGTTCGGAAGGTAAGAGGTCTGTCTGGAGATTTTGTGGGCCACTGCTGCCCAGGGCCCCCCCTTGTGAGGTCAGCATTTTGCATAAGCAGCCTCGCTCTCCATTCCATTACATTCACCACTCGTGTCAAAGGGTGAGTGAAAGCACCATTCACGTTTTGCACAAGTTCTGATGAAGATTGCTATGCTGTTGAAATGACCCTGGTACAGGTCCCTTCCCGAGAAGATAGCGTGCAAGCTTATTCTTTGTGGGCTATTACCGGGACTGATTGGTGTGAAGTATGTCAGCAGCTTCAGGGAACCAGTGATGGATTGTCCAGTGGGACTTATTTTTTCATTTCAAAGATATCCTTTATGTACAAAAATATTTTTAGGAATATATACATAATCACAAATGCAGTTCTGTTCTGTACAGTGGCATATCAAGGGTTTTGATTCTATCCAAACAAACCAAAGACATCTCTTACACATGCAATACTATATTTACATATATTTGAGACACCAGCAGGGTCCGATAACTGAACAGAACCCCATTTATCTTGAGCAGGAAGACGTCAGACAGTGGTCTTTCCCCGCTGCACCTCGGTGGCAGCTGCCCCAAGCTTTAGTGCATCCCTCAGCACACAGTCCAGGACCTTGGAATGTGTCAGTCTGCAACGCGCGATCAGGGTCAACTCTTTGTTCCGGAAGACCAAGTTCCGGGAAGACCAAAGAGCATCTTTCACCGAGTGATGGTTCTCCAGGCACATTTGATGTTTGTCTCGATGTGCGTCCTGGGGAGCATGGTGTCCCACGTTGCGGAGCTGCTTGGGACGAACCTCGACAAAATCCACTGCATCATTCTCCAGACTTCCTATGCAAAGGCATATTCTAGAAAGAGATCGGTGACAGTTTGAACCCCCCTCGCAGCTGCTTCGAGGGAAGTGTGCAGTGACACAGACAGACCGGGTGTACATAAAGGATCTCGCAGGTAGTGCCCTTCTCACCATCACAAAAACAATATCTTGGTGCTTGTTGGAAAGCTCAGGTGATGAGGCATTCTGCCAAATGACTTTCATTGGGGTCACGGATGTTCAAGAGTCCATTTGTGATCAGGGAAAACTGTATCTAGAAAATGCATGTGACTGAAGCTCAACAGAAATGGTCCCAGAGACAGTGGTCCCAGAGACAGTGAGAGGAACTGTTTCTTAGCACTTCCCCAAAAACATGCTGCACCAGGCTAGGATTGTGGTGTTAGTATACTGACCCACTGTAAAGGTAAAACAATAAACACCTTTCAGTTAAATAAAAGCTTTTATCTTGCACACATTCTCAGTGTTTCATTTATTTTTCATTGCCTGCAGGCACTCTGTCTTCTTCATTGACTGTGTCCATTGAATGTCTGTCATTGCTTCACCCATTTCTTCATGTGTCATATTGTCTATGTAATGTGTACCTCTGTGCCAGTACTGTACCAGAAATGTTTTGGGGAGATTGTGTAGTTAATGGGCAGGTGGACAAGCCACAACTCTCCAGTGAAAGTTGAGAGACGTATGAGAATTCCTGTTGTCCCTCACAATTGGACAAGTATGAGAAGCTCATATTAACTGCAGTTCCAAAAGTAACTTGTGTCTTCCACTTGCTGCTTTTAAATTCATGTGTTTTTAAATCACTTTGAAGCGTCCTCCAAACCCTCTTTCCCCCCCCTCCCCCCCCCCCAAAATCTCCAGCCCTACATTCCTTCAAGATCTCTGTGCTCCTTCAATTCTGTCCTGTCTCACATTCCTGACTATAACTCAACCAGCGTTGACAGCTGTGCCTTGAGCTGCCTGGGTCCTTTCTCTGGGATGCTCTCTACCTTCACTTTGCATTCCTCCTTTAAGATGCTCCGTAAAACTTACCTCTTTGACCAAGAATTTTTGTTATCTGGCATTTCAGCTTCTTTTGTGGCTTGGCACAATTTCGACAATGCTCCTGTGAAATGCCTTCAGCTGTTTTACTGTGTTAAAATGCTGTATAATTCTAGTTTGTCCTTTGGGTTTGTAATGGAATGGGTGCCATTGTGAGTCGTTGCATCAGACAAAGGCCACCTTCAATATATTGCTAATGTTGCATTGGATTTTCACTGCAGTTCAAGTGAGATTGAGGCCAAATATCACTGACTGCTCATTGCACCTGGATCACCAATCTGTGATTCTCTAAATTATCCTAAAAGAGACTTGGATGATTAATTGCTGTCACAAACTTAGAGGGGTATGGAGTGAAAGTGGGATGCCTTTTCAAAGCACAGACATTTTAGGCCAAATGGCCTCCCTTAGGTTGGAAGTTTGAGTCGTGATGAGGTATTTTCTGGCCCCATACTTCAATACAAATTCATCTTGGGACCAGACAGCATGAGATGTCTTCATTGTTCTGTGACAATGCAGTTTGATTGAACGTATGCTAAGTGAAGTTATCACATGTGAGGCAGTAAACTGAAGCCTGGCAGAATATCTTGGAGTTGCATGTGTTTCATCTTTTTGCTTGATGTTTGATTCAACCTTGTGATTTTGATGACCATTGTTGTTTGTTTAATTTGTACACAGCCCTCTCCACGCTCAAGTATGTGACTTGTGTGAGTAAACTGACAGCCAAACATGCTTTCAAGTGGTTGACTTCCAAGCTTCACTTTGGACTGATATATTTAATTTCAGTACCGCACAGTGTGAAACACATTGAACCAGGGAGACAAAAACTGGTGAAATAGTTGATAACATGTAATCAGGAATACAGTCCTGCAAATTGCCTTAAAATGGAGTCTCGGGTACAACCACTTCTGAATAGCTCTTTGGTAGCCCTGAGTGGTTGTTAGCTGGTCGGGTCTGACTGGGGTGCCTGAGGCCAAGTGGAACAAGAAATCAGGGGACGGTCCTATGTTAATTGAGAATTTATAGGTGAGATACACTAATAATAAACCAGCTAACCTGATGTTGTTAATATCTGGGAATTTCAAGGGTGTTGTGGTACAGAGGTTCTTGCCTCGGGGCCAGAAGGTCTGGGTTCAAGCCTTACCTGCCCTCGAAGCCTATCACAATAGGTCTACACAGGTTGATTGAGAAATGGCTATAAATTGTATTTAATAAAATATATACATAGAAACTGTAACTCTAATCCTCCGATTTTTAACAGTTATATCTTTATGTTAATTTATTTCCATATTTGCCTGCCTAAGTAATTTAAAATCTGACTAATTTTGAGATGATGAGATTGTGGAAGGTTTGTTTTTTCAGGCAGATGGCAATGTGTAGGAATCTTACAGTATGTGCCACCTGCCAAACAATCTCCATGGTGGTGAACTCAGCTTGCACATGATGTGATTGCTTACTTCATTGCTGCGTTGTGGGCAATAAATCATCTACAATGATCTCTATACACAAACAGGCTCACACTCGCATGCGTGCCTGCACACACAGAGAGACCCACACAGTCTCTCACACTGTCTCACACTTGCACACAGACACACAGTCTCTCTCTCTCACACACACATACACACACAGTCTCTCACAGTCTCTCTCACATGCACACACACAGTCTGTCACACACACAGTCACACTCACATGCACACACACGGTCTCTCTCTCCTCTCTCTCTCGCACGCACTCTCTCGCACGCGCACGCACGCACTCTCTCTCTCGCACGCGCACGCACGCACTCTCGCTCGCACGCACTCTCGCTCGCACGCACTCTCGC